AAAAAAAAAAAAAAAAAAAGGAGAGAGAGAAGCACCCCCAATTCCACCCCCAACCTCAGCCAGTCCAAATCATAGGCCTGCATGCCTGGTGTGTACAGGGAGGCCTTAAGGCGTGCAGTCAGGACCCTCTCCGTCTTCAGCCGCAGAGCATTGCATTGCCACTGCAACACCAGTTGGCCTAGTGACTTAATTCTGGTGCTTAAGCTTACAAAACCTGCTTTTCTCTATTCTCTGGTCTTTAAACAGCAGTCTTGCTAAATTTCTTGTCTTATCTTAGTAATTCACTTATTATGAGTGTTTCTAAAACTGAAATCCACCTTATTATTATTATTATTTTCCAGGTTGCTGCTAAACCTCAGATCAAAGGCTGGAACGCTCAATCCTGAATTTTGACAGCTTTTGGATTCTTCCTGAGGCATCATGCACGAAAGCTGACAGCCTCCTGACTGGTCGACAATCAGGTCAGACATTGAGCTTCTTTGCTGTGGGATTGAACTTTCTTACAGCTCCTACACCTAAGCCTGTGCTACGACTGCCTGCCCCAGCCTCATAGGCTCTGTTCCAGGCTGTCCTTTCTCACTCAGGTTAACTAGGCCATTCCTGGAAGTGCACGAAGACATGAAGGCTGAGCTCAAGAGGCTTCCTTCTCCTGCTGAGTGCTAACTGAAACTAGAAAAGGATTCCAATACCTCTGTACTAAGATCAATACTTCTACCTTTATAACTCCTATATTTGATAAGCTCTATTTAAGGCAGTTAATAAGACATATGCTACTTACTGATCAAACCAAGACTGTTATTACACAGTTATGAAAAATCTTAATTTTGAAAAAATACTTTATGTTTGAAGAAAGTAGTCATGAATTAATGTTTGAGGGAAAAGCAGGATACTGAGCTATATAAAGCTATATGAGCTCATCGTGGCAAACATCATGTGGGAATTGGCTGTTCAGCATCTAAACTTCCTTCCCAGGCTTGGAGAATTTCTCACCATGTGATTCTTCATGTGCAGTGAAGGCCTCCCACCTTTACAGAGACAAGGACTAAAAAGTCTTTCTGTCTCCACTCCCTTACAACTGTGGCATATTGCCTGAACTTGACCAGACGCTCAGATCTACCTGAACTTGGGATTGAGAAGTAAGGATAATGTAAACCCTGTCCCATCTAGGGTAATAGACCAGAAGAGCCAGCTTCAGTCTGGGCCAGCCATGGCAAATACAAGCTTCAGTGAAATATTGTTTTCTTATTGTTTTTTGGTTTAGTTTTCTTCCTTCCAGGAGAGACAGAAGAGAGACAGACAGTCTCTTCCAACAAGGTCTTCATGCCATGATCCAGCTCACATCCCAGCCAGCCCAAATTATGGACATGTGCATGTTCGGTACGTTCAGGGAGGTCCCAAGAAGTAAACGCAGAAGCTTTTTCATGCAGGTCCAGTTGCACCACCACCTGGACCCTGGGGAAAGATCTGTATCACAGCTGTATGGGAGCCTCACCTGAAAAATTCCTTGGTACTTTCTGACCTCTGCTTCTGGCTTATCAATCGCTATTAGTCAGTCTTTTTTTTTTTTTTTTTTTTTTTTTTTCCTTTTTTTTTTTTTTTTTTTTTTCAGTTTTTGCCATATGGCGTGTATGCTTACCAGAGAGAGAAAGAAAGAGAGAAAGTGAGAAAACACCCCTCCTCTCGGGGGGGTGGGGGGGGGATGGCCATACTGCAATCCCTTCTCCTTCATTCTCCTCTTGGGATTTTAGGCATGCATGCACATGTGCTTGGCATGAGTTTTAAGCTACCTGGACCCTGGGGAAAGATCTGTATCACAGCTGTATGGGAGCCTCACCTGAAAAATTCCTTGGTACTTTCTGACCTCTGCTTCTGGCTTATCAATCGCTATTAGTCAGTCTTTTTTTTTTTTTGGAGAGGTTTTCGCTATAGGGCGCGTGCGCTCACCAGACAGACAGAGAGAGACATAGAGACAGAAAGCGAGATATCATCACCCAGGGGGGATGGTCACGCCGCAATCCCTTCTCCTCCATTCTCCTCTCGGGATCTTGGGCATGCACGCACACGTCACCGGCGTGAGTTTTAAGCCACCGGGTCCGGGACGCGAACCGCAGTTGACTACGTGGGAGTCCAGTGACAGCCATTACGCTAACTGCTGGTTCCCACTATTAGTCAGTCTTATAACTACCCTTTTTCCAGACTGATTTCCAGGCTTTCCTATGAATTTCTGAGCTACCAAATATCATTTTCAATAAATTTCTTTCTACTTATAGAAGTGACAGCTCATTCTGTTGCTTGCAATTAAGATTCCTGACAAGTACATCACTGGTATTTAAAATGCAAAGAGGAAAAGCCTGATGTACACCAAATGTTAACAATGGTTATCTTCAGGTGTGGGAAATCACAGATCATTTTAATTCTCTTTTTTCTTATTTGCATTTTCTAAAATTTTTAGTAAAGTGGTGTTACCTTAGTAGTCAGAAAAAAGTAAGTTTTAAAGTTTGTGATTTCTTTGGATCCCTGATGTCCTTCGTTATTGGAAAATAATTAACTTGATTATACAATTGGAATCCATTTTGCTTCTGTCAGAATTGGTACCTGACGACTTCAACCTTGGTTTGAACAGATCATAGAGATTGGGGTAAGAGAAATGCCATATTATATTTTATTGTAAATACTGGGCCAGCTCATGGCATGGTTGGTTAAGGCATCTGGATTCCATGTGGCCAACTGTGTGGCCAAAAGGAAAGCATGAAGGAAAAGGGATTGTGGTGTGACTATCCCCCATAGAGGGTGCTTCCTCTCTCACTCTCTTTCTCTCTCTTTCTCTGTGTCTGTCAGGCAAGTCTACATGCCCTCTGACAAATTAAAAAAAAAAATTCCCTGATACTAATTTTTACCTCTCAATCCTAATACACAAAATCCCAATTTTTAAAAATTATTTTATTTAACTTTATTTATTTATTTATTTTCATTTGACCAGAGAGGGACAGGATGAAAGAAAGAGAGAGGGAAAGTGAGAAAGCAAGCTGCCAGATCTGGGACTCAAACCATGGTTGGCCATGTGGGAGTTCAGTGCTCTTAACCACCATGCCACCTGATGGTTCCCTGATTTATTTTTAAATTTTAGCTTATAGTCCTTTTATAGTTTGAGAAAATTGAACTAGTTTAAGAAATAATCCAAAGAAATTAAGTTTTTTCTTAGCATTGATATTCATAAAAGTGTCTATAAAAGCACAGGACTGGTGCTCATACAGGTCTTTGTTGTCTTCTCTTAACCAGGCATCCATAGTCTTACACATACTAAGAATAATGGTCTAGAACACGAAGGTATTGAACATATCAGAGATCCATGCAGTTAGCCTGAGTAGTTACCAATAATGGCATAAAACAGAGCCCATCCGGGTTAGGAAACAGTGAGAGTTTTCTTTTGTCGCTGTAAGAGTTCCCAGAGATTTTTAGAATCCTGATCTCATACTAGGAGACTCCCTGCTTTTGACCATGAATAAGAAATCAAGGTGACATAGACTAACAGTCTCCTTCCACTTCATTTACATTGTGAGAAAGGAGTTAAGGGAACTCTGAATCCAGAACAGTTGTCCCCAGATTGTTGTGACCTTTAGAACTGAGACGGCACGGATCATCCACAGACGGACGCAGCACAGCACAGGGGAGTAGATAAATGGAGTTTCGTCAAACAGACTGTGCGAGATCTCAGGCCAGACCTCCCTCTGCTGATTGCATGAAATACTTGGTCTCTCTGAACTTTATTTAGCCACCTACACAATGCAGATGAGAGATCCATCTCATAGTATAGGAGATAATGCATGGAAAACTCCCAGCATAGTCCCTGGCTGATAATGAATATTCAGTAAATGTAAGTTCTTTTCCACTTAGGACCCCTCTGCCTTTATTTTTCCTGGGAAAATCTTTATCTTTCACAAAGACTGACTTCAAATAACATTTTTACAATAGGATAGTTATTTCTTTAAAATTCCTAAATCTGGTAAAAGGGTACTTATCTTCTAATTATTTTCTGAAAAGAGATATCTTGACCAAACCATGGAAAAATGATAGATAAAGGGAAACGTTCTCAATTAGCTGAACAAATGTTTTATGACAATATTGCATGAGACAAATGGATCGTCATTTAACATGTAGGGATCAGTATTAAAATTCAGGGAAAAGATATTAGAGCTCATAGGGTCAAACAGTTCAACAAAAAAAGGATTGATATTTGCTTGATGAGCATGCCAAGCTTCCATAGACACTCAAAACTTTTTTTCCATTTATTGAATGAAGGAAATACTCCATATTGAACATAATACCTTCATAAATTGTTTGGGTGTGGATAATTAGCTTGGACCTTAAGATACAGTTTCCCATATTCTTCCAAACAGCATGTTTTCTTGCCAACGTGTAAATGGGATTCCAGTCTCAGTTTGAAAAGGTGACACAAGAATAAAAGCACAGAAAAGAAGGAAACTCAAACTGGAGAAGAAGCTCCATCGGAAAAAAAAAAAATCAATAATTTTGCTACTGAGAAATTGCTACCATCCTTATCCAAGAAGGGGTGGAAAGGTCAGACCAAGCTAACTTCTGTGATAAATGAGTTTATAAAGAAGCCTGTATCAGAAGACTAATTTAATTGGCTGCTTTAAGTGTGATAATACACTGCACTTCCTACAGATTTTTTTTATTAAAATCTTAAAATTAAGCTGAATACAAAGCACGCTGGGTCTATCTGAATGGGACGAATAGCATCAAGTGCAGCCAGAGTGTAAAAGCATTTGCTATTATTATTACCACTATTGACTCAAAATATTGGAACCAAAATGACATATCTTTTCTTCTTGACATTTGAGAGAATTCCAAGTCACAGAAGGACACAAAAAAAGTATCTTTGTTCTAGTACAACCTCCCACTCCAGGGCATTCAGGGCCTCATTAACTATCCCATTTATTGCTCCCAAATTACAAATTAAATAATCAAGCTGAAACTTAAAGAGTTTTGACTGTATACATGTATAAGCATCTAGATGTTCAGTCTCACATTGCAAACTCAGTTTCCCTCATCTCTACCAGCAGAATGTTACCAATGTTGTTCATATTCCACTGGTTGTCACTGCCGACATTAAAAGAAAGATAAGAAATTCAGAAATCAATGTCAATTTTAAACATAATTTCATACAAGTACCCCACCTCTTTTATAAGAATAACTGATAGGTAGAACAACTCAAGATTAGGAACACAGTTTTTAAAAAGAAAATATGAGGCAATGTAATCCAGATCAATGGAATATTAAGAGAAGGGATAAAAGGCAGTACAAGATTGAATCCTCATGAAGTCTCCATGAAGAATGGTGTTGGTGTACCAAGTGCATGAGCCTGAGTTTTGAACGGGCTTATTTCATTTCTGCATGTATGGGAAATACTAAGAAGCAAAGGGAAAATATCTCGTGCAGT